CAGGATCTTGCGGGTATTGGCAGCCTGCTTCGACGGCTCGACGGACTTCGCATGATTGACATTGGTGACGTTACTCAAGATCCCCTTCATCCCTCCTGGGCGTTGGGCTGGCTGTGCTAGGACAGTGGACTTCTTCTCAATGACCACCGAGGGCTTCTCGGCAGCTTTGGATTGCTTCCTTCCAGCAAGGGATGCGTCGTCGCGGCTGGCATTGACGGGCTTTGACGTGTTGCTGACATCTCCAAAGGCCGCCCGCTTGGTGGTAGGCTTCGAAACGCCGTTTTGATAGAGGGCCGACAACGCAGGGGTCGATTTGTTCCGCTGGTGGATAGTTTTGCCGGCTGCAGGGAAGGGGGCATTTTCGTCGCCGCGGACGCGGATTCTCTGGGGCTATGGAAATAAGATGTGATTAGCTCTGATTTCGAGGCTGACGCGATCCTGTAAAGATGTTTAAGATGTCCTCAGCTGCATGGGCGCGTGGGTACATTGCGCACTGAGGACAACATGTGGCCGACCAGGTGATCGACACTATCGAAGAGGAACAACGAAAAGACGATAACGTACCTTTGCATCCATGGTGAACTAGGGCCAACGTTCACTTTTGAGCCTCCAGGACTCGACGTGGGTTGTGGATGGGAGCTGGGCTGTTGTTGTTTACTTCTCTGCGCTCTGCGCAAGAGCAGTTTGTTGCAGCAGCCAAAGTTATACTAAAAGCGGCCCCAAACAAACAACAACAGCAACGACCACGCCAAGACCAGGTGCAGAGAAAACGAAGAATTAATCCAGTGATGACCGGGACAGAGGACACGCACTGGATTGGCACGAGGCTTTTCTGAAGCAAGTTGTAGAAAATTCAGAAAGACTTGGGAAGGAAAAAGCGACGACGAAGCAATCGAGAAGGAAGGGAGGGGAGGGCGCGACCTGGACAGGGCAGGGCAGGGCAGGGCAGGGCAGGACAAAAACACTGGAAGCGGAGGCTTGAAGGCTGCTGAGGGAGCAACAGCAGCACTAACACTAACGGCCTGGCAACAAAGGGCTGTATTACCCAAAACGGTCACTTCCTTACTTGGTTACCGTCAACAACCAGCTATGCTTATGTCAGCCCAGGATTCCTCACAAGCTGGCTGCAGTTTGCCTGGTTTGTCTGGTTTGTCAGGTTTGTCGGTCTTTCAGAGCCCATGTGACATCACTCAGCGCGTCTTCCCGCTAGCACTTCATTTCTCTTCCGCCCAGAAATCCTGCCATCCGCGGATAGATCATGATATTCCCAGCCAGCAGAATTACCTCCAGAACAATGCGATTCGGCTTCTGAATTATATTAATGCATTCTTGCTTTGGGCGGGTGTGGGCAGAGGCCGAACTATGGGCAGGCGGGGGACGCGCCGGGCGACACGAAACTGCCCGCTTGGGAACGCGAAACCACGTGATCAGTCCGGGCGCTACTCTCCGCTATTTCGCCCGGTCATTTGAGGCTGGAGGTCGCAATGGTTAGAGGTCGACGAATAAGCCTGTTTATTGGGGCTACAGGGCGCAAAGGGTTCTCCATGGGGTTCTTCATACGAGACCAATCACTAATGCAGAGATCTTGCCGAAGACACCGGTATAAACAGGCAGGAGAAGGGAGAAGGAGAATTGAGGGGAGGGAGGGGGGGGGTGAAATGGTGTTTGCGATCGAGATCGGAGCCAGCGCATAGGAGGAATGAATGATAGATGATGAAAGACCGAGAGAGGGAACAATAATGAAGGCAGCGTCAATGACTTGAACAATCCCAAGTTTTCCTCCGGCTTTACAAGTTCTGTATTCCCTGTCTCTTGAGTTCAGTTTTGCTTCGGTCTTGTTCTCTGGTTCCCGTTTACACCCGTGCAAATGCCAACGTCGCCAGGAAGCCACGGTGGGACGCGGATCCGGCGCTGCCTATCATGATACGGGAGGGAGGATCAAGTGGTGGAGGGGAATCAGTCCTTGTCTGGTCAATCGCCGATCGCGACTGTGGGAATCGGTCTTACAGAGTACAAGGGTTGCGCCTGTTCACACAGGTGACAGAATTGAGGGGAAAGTATCCACATAAATAAGCTCTTGTTGAATCAACCTAGATTAACCAGAGGGAAGGTTGAAGAAGAAGAGGAAGACGAAGCAGCAGCAGCAGCAGGGAAAGGGAACAGCCGAGTTTTTGAGGTATTGCGAGCGAACCAAAGCGGACTATTGAATGAGCGCGAAGTTTCGGTGTGGTCAAAGGACAACAACAATAGTCGGCGTTGCAGGACAAAAGTCACTCAATCCTTTCTTTATTCGAAGTTTATTGATTGACTCAATGACCCCGCCGAGCGGACCCCCAATTTTCTTTCCATCCGAAGGATCCTACAACAACAATTAGATATCTTCATTTGATTCTTCAGGCTTTTACCACTTGCTATTTCGCCTGCTTCATCCTAATCATTTGCAATTAAACATTCGAGAAGGAAAGTCCTCCTGGATGGTGTCTATGTGACCTATAATTATAACCTTACTTGTTAGGGTGTGGGCTGCTGCACAGCACTGCACCTGCTCCAAATCCCTTCCCTTCCCTTCCCCCCACTCATCCGGCTAACGACATCGTTGCGCCGGTTGGTGGTGGCTCGGAGTTGCTCGTCTCTGTCTCTGCTTTTGCGCTTGACATTCATGCTTTCTTAGCCGCTTCACATTTCTCCTTCCCCAATGCGCAATGCGATTCCCCAAGGTTCTCCAAATCATGAGTAATGACCAATGCAGACAACTCTATAACTCGACCTTGCGAACCACTGTGAATTGGAAGAAGAAAGGAGTAAGTACCTTTGGGGAGGATGACGGAACTAATAGAGAAAATGCGATGTCGCACCGGGACCTGCAGACTGACTGGGAAATGAATGGTCACTGGATGGAAGGAGAGACGGCCGGATAGAACACGCTCTACCCGCGGATAGAACGCATTTACATACATACAGTAACCTAGTAGCGAAGCAACGTTATAATGCTGGGGAGGGGAGGGGGAAAAGGTCGATGGATGACTTGTGCCTACCCGACGGTTGATGAAGGACAATCCCTCGTCCATTCATTCATTCATTCATCCATCCATCCATCCATCCATCCAACCTTACGTAGTCCATGCTGGCCGATGGAGGGAGGGAGGGGTAAAGAAAGGACAAGCCTGGACAGGCGCAGATCATGAAACGAGGCAACAATTGGGCGTGATCGCTGGTCGGTGCTGTTGGCCTGGAGCCAGAGCCAATAATGCCCCCATCATCTCCATCTTTGTCCCTCTCTGTTGCCCCATTCCGTTCTGCTCATTCCACCGGTTCCATCAATCAGTTCAATCCACATGCTGGTGTTGACAGACTGGGGTAGAAAGATGAAGATGAAAAGGGAACGAGGGTCGCATCGCTCGATTCAACCCCAGGGTCTGTGAGCATGAGACGAGCTCCGGGCGGGAATTTCAGCCCTGCATGTCTGAGTAAATCCCGTTTCCCAGTGGGAGCAGCGAAAACGAGGAGGAACAATCCGGATCGCATTGGCGCAATGAGCGACGGCCGCTGGTCGCATCGAGCAGATTTGCGATAGAATCTCCTTCTCGTTCTTCGCCCCAGTTTGCGCCTGTCGGATTTATCTTGTGGGTTTGAACATCAAGCATGGACAAAAGAACAAAACCTGGCGGTGACTTCGAACCGGATCATTTTCCTCTGGGGATCGCAGCTGGCCCATGTCTGGTGGTGACCGGGATGTGATTCGGGGGTGTCATTCGACGTGGCCGCGCTGAGGATGTGCCAGCCAACCCGACGCCACTCCGCTTTCTTTCCCTCTAATTGTCTCGACCTCTCCGTTTGTGTCGTGCGACGAAGAGTGGTCTGGTATTTATCAATTTCGAGTAGGAGCTAGTCGCTACGCACAGATTATCTACGTAATCAAGCTATCTGCGAAAATTCTCGTGACACGCTCGACATGCTTATGCCCAAAGACGGAGATCTGCGGATGGTGGAGGTGGAGGAGGAAGTCGCTGTCAGTTTGCGCCAGACCCGGGCTGATGGCTCAACCATCCGAATGTCTTTCGCACGCTCTGGCCCATCTTCTGTTTGTCTACAGTTCAGAATAGGACCGTTATATTAGAGAGACAGGGATTGCGACTCATGGCGAAGGGGATTAAATGCCGCCTGAGACCTCCGACGGTCGCAAGAGAGCAGTCAATGTTCCCCGTAGACGCCGCCGTATCCGGGCCGTAGACGGAATGCGATCTGGGACTTTTGCGATGCAATAGACCAGCGCGCATTGCACAATTTGGAGAATATGGAAGATAAATAGACTCAATCAAGTGATATAATGAACTTGAGGTTGTTTGTGAGTTGGCGATAGAAAAATCTATGGAAAGGGGGGGAAACAAAAGACGTATGTGGTCACCGACCCCAGCACGTAGCTTGCTGAAGTGGTGTGGGTGAAACCACTTCTGGGCTGTCTTTCAGTCAGTCGGCTTCCTCCCTCTTGTGTCTCTCTCTCTCCCTCCTCTTCTTCCCTCCTCCTCAACCCTCTTTCGACAACTCAACCCTCGACTTCGTTCGCCCATCGCCTCTCCGCCCCTCATCCTTCCTCGATTTTTGGGTGCAGTATCTATCTGGTAGGTTCTTCTTCATCGTCTCATTCTCTTTATTTGTGTTCGCAGCTCGCAGCATGGGGTGCTGGGCCGCTCTGTTCTCCTGACTCGCTTCGGCTCTGCGTGATGCCACCGCTGACATACCCAAGCGCTTGGTAGAACGACTCACCTTGCCCACGGCCCGACCCCCGACTCCCTCCTCCCATCGCCATCGCTATCGCTGTCCTTCCTTCTTCATCCTGTCGGATCTGGTACATGGGTGCGACTCTGGATAATTCAGTTTGACCTGTCATCGGTGTGTCTTTAATCCTCTTCCTCCTCTTCCGAACGATTCGGGTTGTTTCTTCCCTGCTTCTTCCTCAATGCCCACACCCGTCTCTCCCCCCCCCCCTCCTCAAGTCTGCAATCCATCAGGATTCAACTAGCCTTGGAATACCATCGGTTTCCTGTCATCATCTCACTCACAGAAGACTTCTTAATCATCTAAGATTATCTGGGAACACATTGTGCTGACATTCATGCTGGTTTTCCTTTCAGCATCGATCGGTTTTTTCTCGCCTTTCCCATCGCTTTCGGCTCTTGCGACTTGGGGTGTCCTCATCCCATCCACCACAACTCGGGGTCATCGATCCTGTCAATATAAACAATCGCGGGTGATCCATCTTTTAACCAACCTCTCCTGGGTTTACTGTTGTGGTAGGTTTGGATGGACTTTGCCCACTTTGCCCATACCCTCCTCATATTCCCGTTTCTGCCTTTTCCCTCTTCCAACATCCGCCCACCCCCACTCATCCTGTTCCCTTCCTATCCGGATCGATCCTATTCACCCCCAAACAAGAGCAGCCGGTTGATACGATCATCAATGTAGTAGCAGTGTGGTAGCACCCGCTTTTGGACCTTTCCCATCATGCAAGCTGTCTCGTACGAACAGCATGCGGCTCCGGGGGTGTCGCCTGCCTATAGCGATTATCGCTCGCCTCAGGAGCCTTCCCCCAGGAGCTCGGTGCCTAAGAACGTCGCCTTCGAGCTGCTACTCGATGAGAACTCTAAGGTGCGGGCTCGCATACCTATGCGAGTCCAGATCTATCCCCATGATACCACGGATTCCATTGTGACCACTGTCAAGAATTTTTATGGGATTTACGATACCACTGCTAGCGGGGTCAGCTTTGAGGATGAACAGGGTATCACCCTTATTGCCAGGTATGAGAATCTCCGAAATAATATGACGGTGTACGTGCGAGTCATCCCCGTGCAAGCCTATACTGAAGGCTACGGGGACCGCTTCTATGGACACCTGCCCATGGACGCTCGCAAGCGCCCGAGTCTGGGAGAGCCTTTCCAGATGGCGCCGGCAATGCAGGCGGCGCACATGTTGGAGCATGGGCAACCCCCATCTCGGCCTGCCTCCCGGCTCGCTCGGAAGCGCAGCATGTCACCGTCCGGCCGCAGCCGTCGCAGCGCATCGCAGCACAAGCAGTCGTCGCGCGGGGGCAACAAGAGCCGAGGCTCCAGCACGCATGGCAGTTTTATGGAGGACGGAGGCTATAGCGACAGTGAAGGCGGCTATGGATCTGTCTCGGGCGCCAAGAAGCCTCGTAGTGAGCAGTTGGGTAGCTCAGATATCAGCATGGAGAACATTCTTCAAGATGGTCGCAGGAAGCGGCCGAAGTTTGAAAGCTCGGTAAGGGACACCATCATACGTAGCCTCAATGCTTGGACAGTTGCTAATCATCTATTCCACAACCATATAGGAATTGCCGCTGTTCGCCCCTCCTCAGGTGCCTCTCACAACCTCCACGTCCTCCATTTCCCCTCAGCGCCGGTCGATCGGCCAAGAAGGAGCCGTCTCACCTTTTGCCCGCCCCACTCAGCGACCCTATAACTCCCAACCACAACAACCCCTTCTTCCTTCTCCTCAGAGCTATGGCCACAATGAACATGCGTATAGCCTTCATCAGGGCCAGAGTTCTGTCTATGCCACGCCGATGGTTCCTGATCACGGACATCGCCTGCGCGACCGGGCCACAACCCAATCATCGGGGCAGTACAGCAACAACTCGGCTGGTCGCAACACGGCTCCCGGGGTCCTCCCTACGCCCGATCCAACCATCGCGAGCTGCATCTCCGATGAGGATGTGGCCATGCAGCTGATTCGTCTGGGCGATGCTTCAAACTTTTCGCATGGTCGTACATCCGCATCTACCCTGGATGATGCCTTCAGCGGCGCTGCGGATGCTGCCTCCTCGACTGGCGCCACCAGCGATGGTGACGAATACAGCGAGGATGATGATGATGACGATGATGATGATTTGCCCTTACGAACCAAGCAGAGGCTGGACTCCAGCCCAATGTTGCCCCCGGGTGCCATGAAGCGCACCCACAAGCGATTGGACGACATTCTGCCAAGCTTTGACAGTTCTGATGGCAGTTACGATGGCTACGATGATGAGTATAACCAGGAGGACAGACACCATGATCACACCATCAAGAACGAGATGGACGATGATTCTCTTTATCACGAATCGGCTCCCAAGTCTAAGAAGGTCAAGGTCCGCGCCGGTAGCACGACCTCGACCAAGGCCCGTGGGTCCAAGTCGGCCCCAGTGCGCCCAAGCAAGACAGCCAAAGCGACCACCAATGGTGCCGTGCGCAAGGCTAAACCGACTCCCACGGTGGTCACTCAGAAAGCAGCGGTGTCGCCAGTCCTGGCTAGCCCAGCGCCCGTCCGCAAGAGCTCGACCTCGTCTGTGACCCTTCAACACCAGCACCCCCACCCACTGGCTGCCGATGAAGAGGATTTGTCCACCAAGCCGCGTTGCCAGCGATGCCGCAAGAGCAAGAAGGGCTGTGATCGGCAACGCCCTTGCGGCCGATGCAAGGATGCTGGGATTGGCCTTGATGGCTGCATCAGCGAAGACGAAGGGAACGGTCGCAAAGGCCGCTACGGTCGTCACATGGGGGTCCCCGTGAAGAAGACCGTTGAATCTCCTCCTCATGGCACCGAGGCCCAAACTCTGGTGGCTACTGCCGCCCCTATGCCTTCGTCGTCGTCGTCGTCGTCGTCGTCGTCGTCGTCATCGGCTGCTATCGCCGACAAGAACAAGAAACGCAAGCGCTAGACCCATCCTGTATCCGGCATGAGGATGACGGTCCTGTTGCTTTTTCTATCTCAGATACACCTTTGCACCTGCACCTGTTTGTCCAAATATCGACTTATAAGCTGTGCCTGGATGGCTGCATTTCCGCAAACATATTTTACCTTTTACCTTTTAACATAGACGAGTGGAATTATCTGTGTATCGCATCTTTCCCCTCCTTCCATAACCTTGACCCTGTACCGTTGGCCTTCCATCCTGATGTCCCCTGTCCCTCTTCTGCGCAGTACCTATCACTTCTGCCTCGGTCGAAGTGGGTGGCTCTGCAAATGTTCGGACGGCTCCTCTGGATGCGTCACTCATTTCAACCTCTCACCCGCCACCCACCACCGACATAACACCCACACTCCCTCCGACTGTCGACCTCACAACCTCGCATCAACTCGACGAGCGACGAGCTCCTGTCACGGTTCCTCACATCGTCATGCTTTTCCCATTACACTCTGCATTCTATTCAATAGTTCTAGCGATTGAACTGAGCGGGTTGATTGTGTTTATTGTGTCGTGTTCTTTTGGCGTTATCTGCAGCTGACTTTGATGCGGCCCTGTGGGGTGCCTGGTCGCCTTCCACCACTCATTACCGTGCGATGATTGTGCCAAAGTATCTGGATTGATTGGTTTTGTTGTTTTGAATGACTGAGTCATTATTCGACTGATCTGGTGGAGACGAAACTATCAGGTCTAGGGTGATCGAATAAGAAATATATGTTTCCGATGAGGATCTATACAGATACCGTAGACCCCGGCCAGGAGGTGACTCAATTGCATTCAATCTTACAATGTTACTTTATTGGCAAATCCAGTCTATTGATATAAGGTTGAATTCTAATTCAGCTTAAAGTATATTGTTTAGTTTCTTTGTTCTTGATAATGATGAATCACTTGCAGACGAAAGGGTGAGATGAGGGTGCTGACTAAGCCCCCGACAGATGCCCGCCAGTCGGAGACCATACCCGATCGAGGCTAGCGGATACAAATTTCCGCCGCCCCGCACTTTTCGCGGGCTAGACGCGCGCTTCCCGAATTTTCTGCCCGCCGCGGCCGCCGAGTTGGCCGCCGGCCAGTTGAACCGGAAAAAAAGTTTCGGGAGTTTACACCACCACCACCACCATCACCTCACAATCTCACGCATCCTGCTGCCTTTTACGACGACACTCCCAATTCCATTTCCCTGTACCCCCAAAACAGGATTTATCTCCATTGAAACCGACCCTAACCTACGATCACCGAACCCACCTTCAAATCTCCCCACACTCCGATCACATCTCGCCTCTGTTCACATTCGCCCTTTTAAAAAATGCCACCCAAAGCTCCTCCCCGCCGCGGAGGAGCAGCAACAGCAGCAGGAACCCGACGCACCACGACCGCTGCCGCCGCTGCCGCCGCTGCCGCCGAACCCACTAATGCTCCACCCACCGAACCCACGCCTGCCACCACCGGCAGCGCGGCCGGCACCAAACCGCCGGTCCAGCGCCTGCAGACCCTGAAAAAACGCACCCCGCCGTCGGGCAGCATCGCGCGGCCGTCGCCGACCCCGGCGCCCGCCCCGGGGTCTGGGGAGCCCGCCAAACCGACGCTGAAGTACAAGCCGCGGGCCGTGAACCGGCGCAGCAAGGAGGAGCGCGAGGCGATCGAGAAGCTCGAGGCGCAGCGGAACCGCGAGCGGTTGAAGGAGGCCGCGGCCATCCAGCGGGGGCGCGGGGGCGGACCGCATGGTGGCCGGGGGGGCCGGGGGGGCATGCGCGGGGGGATGATGGGGCCCGGGGGTGGGCCGCTGGGCTCTGGCATGGGTGCTGGTGGTGCGCGACGTGGCCGCGGTGGCGCGCTGGGTGGGGGGTTTGATTCGCGGTCGCGGAGTCGCAGTGTCATGGATCTTGGGGCGACGCAGGTCGGCGAGGCCGGGGAGGGGTATGTGAGTTCCGATGAGAGTGATGGCGAGGTGCGGGTGAGTATCGATCGGATTAATTTGGGGAGTGATGATGAAGAGGACGGTAAAGATCGGAAGGTTAAGTTGGAGGGGCGTGGGGGGGTGGGGGTCGGTGGGTTGAGGCCCCTCCGCTTGGAGAGGCATGAGCATGAGGAGCGCGTCGTCAGTGTTAATATGGAGTCTAGTACGACGGGGGCGGCGGAGGCCAAGAAGAAGGAGGCCGAGAAGGCGGAGTTGTTGGAGAAAAAGAAGAAGAAGAAGAAGGCGGAGGAGGAGGAGGATAATGCTCTGTTTGTCGCGCAGGATGATCAGGATGGGGAGGATGAGGAGGAGGATGAGCAGATCGTCAAGGAGGAGCCTACGGATGAGGAGGACCAGGTCATGACTGATGTGCCCCGGGCAGATGATGGCGCTACGATGGTCGACGATGGCTTGCTCCCCGTGCAGAAGGTCAAGGTGCGCCGAAAGTTGAGCCCGTCCAAGTCCGTCTCGGAGTCGGCCGTCCCCAGCCCCGAGCCGGAAGTGGTCATCGATCCTAAGAGTTTGCTACGCACCAAGGAAGATATCGAGGAGTACGAGAGACATGAGCAGGATCTGGAGATCGTGAAGACACTCTTCCAGAAGGAGCCCCGGCCTGAAGCTCCGGAGGCGCTGGCTGGCGCGGCGGAGGGTGCCGCGGAAGGCGAGGACAAGGACCAAGACAAGGAGGGAGCAGCGGAAGACGGAGACGCGGAGGAGCCCAAGGACGAGGAGCAGGACAAGCTGGCTGGACAGCTGTTCCTCATGCAATTCCCTCCGCTGACACCCAACCTGGTGCTGCCAGGCACCGAGACTACGGATGCACACCCCACCACTACACAACCCCCAGCCACCGAACAGCCGGTCAAGCGCGAAGACGAGATGGAGATCGTTGACGGTGACGAGGATGCGACGGCCGCGCAGGGCTCTGCCAAGGTCGTCACGGCTGCGGATCCCGGCTTGTTGGCCGGCCGCGTCGGCAAGTTGAACGTCCATGCATCGGGTCGGGTGACGATGGACTGGGGTGGGATCAGCTTCGAATTGGATCGCGCAACGGCGGTGGACTTTTCCCAGGAAGCCCTGATTGTCTCCACGCCGCCGAACGCGGGCGACGAGGAGTTCCCGGATGACGAGAAGAAGGTCTGGGCGATGGGCCAGCTCAGCGGCAAGTTCACGGTGACGCCGGACTGGGAGAAGATGCTATGATCTCGGGGTATTGAGGCTGGGAAGGGAAGTGTGGGGCAGTCTATCGGTTGATTGATTGATATGAGTAGATAAACATCAGTTCAATGAATGAATGAATGAACCAATTGGTTGTTGTTTCTTTCTTTGGAATACGTCACCTTCGAATATGCAGGGTAGGGAGGGTAGGGAGGTTGGTAAGTTAGTGCTCTAGTGAGAGTAAGAGTAAAGGTAGGAGGGGCTGTAATGACGCCATACAAGAGTGGTGTGAAGCTGTTGCACCGTACAACGAGCCCGATCCCCTTATGACATCCATCGGCTCCCCAGTCAGTAGTTTAGCCGCTAGGATTGATCATCTGGACAAGCGAGGAGAGCCTTTAGATGTTACGATGAAAATAGTTTGTATAGTACTAAGTTCAGGACTATGTGGTTGCTTGCATAGAGTCTCAAAGAACAGGACTCAGTCAACACCAACTGCTGTGTCAAATCTAACGGTTGAGATGAAATGTCTCACATCAGGGTTGCGGGTTCCACGTTTAGGTGACTGAATTACTGTACCGAGTACCGAATACCGTAGACTGAATGTTACAGGGAAAGTGACCCTTGGGCTGCAGCTCCACTTGGCTGTCTTGGCTGTCTTGGCTGTAAAGCCCTGACAAGCTTCTAAGCTTTCAGTAGCACGAGACATTCGATCAACTGGCCGATCAGCAAGCCACTAACCCCAAGTAAGGGCAATTCAGCCCGTGCGGGCACGGCTCAGAGGGTTGGAACCATTGGAACCAATAGCACCAATGATAATGCCGTCAATCGGCCCCAAAGGTGGACCGGTGCCTTGTCGCTTGGCCCAAAAGGGGGCAGGTCAATTGGCACTAATTTCCACTAATTGTTGCAGCAGGCTTCAGCAGGGTCAGGGCCATTAACTGCTGGAGTGTTCTGGCCCGTTAACTTACCCCCCCCCCCGGTACGGTACAGTATTATTGAGCTCAACCCACCCCTTATGATTATTATTATTATTATTATTTGTATTATTGTTTGTATTATTATTCCGCCCGTTCGCTCCAACTCAACTCGACTCCCTCCCCAAACTTCCCTCTCCTCCTCCTCCTCCCTCCTATTCCTTCTTCCCCTCCCCCATATTTCTCCTCTCCTCCTCCTCCCCCTCCTCCCCCCCCTCCTCCTTCTTTCCATCTGCTTTGGGTCTTCGTTACTTGCGTGTCGAAATCGAAATCGACTTACCCTCGCTGGGGCGGAATTGAGTTTTGAGTTTGTTTTTGCTGCCTGTCGTTCCCGTGGCTGAGTCTGTCCGTTCCTCGTTCCCGCCAGTTTCAGGAGATTTGCCAAACCATTTCTTTTTTCCTTCTTCCTCCTGCTTCCCGCTCTCGCTTCGACCCTTCCGAAGTGTGCGACAAATCGCGCTGTCGATTCCAGATTCCACCCGACTTGGCTGCTTACTGCGGTGGCTGCTGGATTGTGGTAGTGGTGGTGGATTACCTGCTCTGCACGAGTGAGATTGCGCACGTTCGGGGCCTGGTGGAGGCAGCCTTGCGCATCGCAGTCAATCTAATCTAAACTCGCGACAATCCCGACGCACAACAATACTCTCGTCTTATATATACGTACGACGTCGTCCTCGATCGCTTTTGTGTCGCTTTGAACCCTGTCACATATGATCTCATCATGAAGCCCTCGACAATCGTTCTTTGCCTCGTTCCGACGATAGCTATCGCCGCCGAAGCCGACCGGGCGCCTTCTCCCACCCCCTCCCTACCGAATACCACCCCGCCTGCTCCGTTACCAGAGATTCAGATCCGGCCCGACCACCGGGAAAACGTGTTGGACATCCAACAAGAGGTCCGTCAATGGCAAGAGCGGGGGATTTCGACTGGCGAGAACACCGCCATCGACAGCGGACTGGGGACGCTGGCCGCCTCTTCGCGCGACACCAAGGCCCTGCGCGCTCGCAGTGAGGGCACGCTCGGACAGACGCCGTGGATCGGAATGGCTATTGGATTGACCTGCACAGCGCTGGCGGCAGTCATGCTGGGCTAAAGGATTGATCTGGTCATCTGTTACCTTTGCATACGGAGTTCATAATTCTCGATTTTACCTTTTGACGACATTGACCGGCACCCTCATTGGAGGCGTTGGTCGCAATTTTTCCACCTTGCTACGGCTACGAGCGCATCGCTTACCTGGGGTCCAATCCTTTCGAACCTGCATCCAATCTGCAGTGGACTGGTCACTTAATACCATGTGGATCCCGGATACGGTCCCTGCAGGTCCCTGTTCTATACCTTTTCTTCTTCCGTCTTCTTTGCATGCATACCCAAGCCACCATGTATAGACCGGGTAGTTTTTTTTTTTTTTTTTTTTTTCTTTTCTTTTGTTTCCCCTATTTTCTGACGCTCGATTGTACGTGTATATGATACCTTGGATCTGGGGTTGAGCCGACAGGAGGCTCGCCGATCTTTTCTTGTTCTATTCTCATGATGTATCTACCACCATTATTTATGAACAATTCTTTCTTGACTATGTCGCCGACAGTAGTATCTCTGAGTCTTGTCAGACGGTTGAAAGTCGCCGCGAGCGATGGACAAATCTCCCGATGCGCGGGTCATGTGAGCCAAGGTGTGTTCCTTTGTCTGTTGCCCGTCCGTTGCCCGTCCTTTGCCCAAGACCAGTCTGAATCTCTGCTTGGGCCTCGTCAGTGTCTGTCGCGATGAAACAAAGGACTGCGAATCGGACCTCGTGTTCTGTTCTGGTGCTGACAGCGCATCAGCAGCTGTTCCCCGCTGTGGACTGGACAGTACTTATTTATTGCTACCACTGCCCCCGGGAGGAGTCTCACATGCATGAGGATGCGCCGTGGTGTATCATCTCTTCACTTCACTACGGAGAAATACTGTGTGTTGCTGTTCTGGGTGAGATCATGACTTACTGCGACTGCACTGTCAGGAACTGAATACCAGTTCAACCTAGGGACTGCACACAATCCACCTCCACCATCTCCACGCCCTGCGCAAAGTGCCCCCAAAGAACTTCACATCTGCTCAAGAAACCTTCACTAACAACCTCACCTGAGCTATCACAAGTAAGCCCACCACCTCCCATCCACACCATCTCATCAACCACCATCCCCAGCCAACAAACCACAAACACCCCCAAACAAAGCTAAAACCCACGCTCACCCCAGCCTTTAGGGAGTCATGGCCAAATCTTATGATAATATCCCCCCGTACACTCCAATGAAATCCCTCGGCCACGAACTCGGCATCCTCTTCGGGTTCCTCGTCGCCTGCTTCGTCGTGATGGGCGTGTACGTCTACGTCTGGCATGGTGAGTTTCTTCTCCTCAACCCCCCCCCCCCTTTCCTTCAAACCAAAAACTGATGCTGCCGGGCCCAGCCGCCGAACGCCGCGAAGCCCACCGCGACAAACTCCGACACCAGATGCTCGACACCCGGCGCGTGGACCCGCACCTCCACGAGCAGCGCCTGCACCCGGACTACCGGCCCATGGGCACCTCGACCACCATCACGGCGGGGTCGACGACCGTCATCGGGGGTGGGGGCAGTGTTGCCGGGTACAGTGGGTATGGTGGTGCAGGGAATGCAGGCACGGCGACTCCGACGACTGCGACTGCCACGGGCACGGCTACGGCTACGGCTACGGCTACGGCTACGGCGTCTGGCTCCGCGATTGGGATTGAGAAGATTATTGAGAAGCGGGCGGAGTTGGCGGGACGGCCACCACATCCACATCCACATCAACAACAGTACTCGGAGCCGGAGGGGGCGATAGGGGTTGCGGTTACGACGCCTAGTCCTAGTGGTGAACCGGAAAACGAGAGGGGAAAAAGGAACTTCAGGAAGGAGGGGTCCTCGGCGTTCGGGTTGGGGTTTGGGAAGAGAAATTTGAGCTTGAGGTCGCATCCGGTGGATTCGGGGGCTGGGGCTGGGGCGGAGGTGAAGAGGGCGGGGAGTGCGGGGAGTCCTGGAAGTACTGGAAGTACTGGGTTTCCGCCTGGGAGTCCGGGGGGATGGGCCGGGGGGGTTCCTGGGTATTTTGGGTCTGGGAAGGAGGCGGGGTTGGAGATGGATGTAATGGGGGTGAAGGGGCATTGATTTGATGGACTGTGGACTGTATATCGTGCGGAATCTTTCATGCTTCATGCGGAGTACAAGGAATAATAGTCTTTATCATGATCAGACTCATAAATTCATATGCATTCATTCTCTTCCAATTCCCCCTCGTAATGAATCGTGACCTTGCTCATACCTCATTTATCTATGCCTATGCCAATGCCAATGCCAATGCCACCCACAACGATAATTCCCCCCAGCGCAAAGCACCCCCCACCCCCGACCCCCTCTCCACCACCCACTTCCTCCCCAGGGAAAACCTCAACCTACTTCCCAATCGCCACAAACAACCGATCCCCAATATCCCCCAACCCCGGCACGATCATGCCCCGCTCATCGCACCGCGCATCCACTGCCCCCGTCCACACCTCCACCCCGTCCGCCCACGTCCCCGCCGCCCGCCGGATCCCCGCCTCGGAGCCCAGCACGCTCAGCATCACGACGCGCCGCACCCCCCACTCGCGCAGCAGCTGGATGGCCGCCTCGGCCGTGGCGCCCGTCGCGATGATCGGGTCCAGCAGGATGGCGGTGTCGGCCGCGGCGGTGTTGGCGCTGCTGGCGTTGTGGAAGGGCAGGTTGTTGTAGTACTCGACCGGTTGCAGGGTGAGGCGCTCGCGGAAGAGGCCCAGGTGGTAGATGGGGATGCTGGTGGGGAGGAGGGAGTTGATTGCTAGCTTGCGTTAGTATGGTTTGGTTGGGGCGAGGGGGGGGGTGAAGTGTAGATAAGGATTTCCGGGAGGGGGGGAGATAAGGATAAGAGTCCTGAGTTCCGGAGGTTTGGGAGATAAGGATATGGATGTGGGATGGGTTTCTCAGGGCAGGGCTGGACGTACCGTCGGTCATGCCTAGTCCGGATCGCAGGATAGGCACCAAGGCGATGTTGGAGGGGTCGATGGTCGTGGTTGGGTATTCGATGCCTAGTGGGGTTTTGTCCTGGGTCGGAGGTTTAGTTTTGGTGGTGGTGGTACCAGTGGATGGATCAAAGGATATGCGTACCGTTCCATCTTGCTTCGTTTTCCAGCCATATGCAAACGCTTCCACGCCCAAAATGGTGGCGATCTCGTGGACGAGATCGCGGGTTTGGCGGGTGGAGGTGGAGGCGGAGCGCAGTTGCGAGAGTTTGGCCTGCAGGAGAGGGTGGGAGGAGACGTGGACGTTGGTGGGGAGGCTCATGTTGAATCGGGAGTGCGTGAGTGAGTGAGTGAGTAAGTTTTAACTGTAGGTGTTTATGTGTGTGTGTTGGAGTTGGGCTGAGAGACACAGGAGGGGAGGGGTTTTATAGCTTGGGAGGAGCTCAGGTAGCAGTGCGTTTGTAGAAGAGTGGAAATGATGCAGTTGGGAATGAGGGGTAAAACAAACAAGGCAGACGAAAGTCACCTGCTACGACGACTCCCTAGTCGGCTGATCCTCAGGCATTCTTTCTTTCTTCATTCACTTTGCCATTGATTGCCATTCACTGTATCTTCTATCGCCTATCGTTTCCCAGCTGAGGATATCTCCGGACTGATAAGCTGTTTATCATGATCAGTGACCTCTCTCTTTATCTTAAATCCCCAGTTATACCCCGTCGATCTCGCCCAGCGAACCAGAGCCCAGCCTGTGCTCCACCGACCCCACCTCCACTGCTTTCCCTCCTGTCCGGACTTCTCTCCGCGCCGAACGTCCTGTCGCAAACCGAGTATTCGCAAACCACCACGCCGCAATGGCATCACAACCACAACCACAACCACAACCACAACCACAACCACAACAACCAAAACAATGATTATCCCTCACCCTCTACCCCAGCGCCCCAATCACCACCAGCGTGCTATGGGCCAACCTCTCCGGCTCGCTGGCGAGGGGCTTCCTCCTCGAAGACCGCCTCTTCTTCGTCTCCACCGAGCAGCCCCAAACATCCGCCCAACAACAAAACCACAAAGCCCACAAAAGAACCATCGCGCTGTATATCGGCCTAACCACCGGCTTTAGCGGCAGCCTCACCTCATTCTCCTCCTTCATCCGCGACGCCTTCCTGGCCCTCACCAACGCCCGCCCCACCACCTTACCCCCCAAAAATATCCCCCCGCGCAACGGCGGCGACAGCTTCCGCGCCACGCTGGCCTGGACGAGGGGGTTCGTTGAGCCTGTCTGTTCTTGACCTCCCCTCGATCGAGAAAGAGTTATATTTATAATCATAGTGTTTAATATAGATGCTCAAGGTATAGAACGAATTTATCATACTACAACTAACGAACTGCATCCCCGCCAAATACTTATATTTTGTGTGCAAATTACTTATTGTACAGAACTACAACCAATAAAGCATGTGCAACAGTGCGGAAAGAATTAACAATGAAAGAAAAATCTTCAGATCGCAACATGCGAAAAGGAAAAACCCAAAGCAGCAGAACAACAGAGCGGAGAAACAATCAACAGGCGGGGACGCGTTAAACACATGAACAGCAGGCAAGCTCACATTAAGATGGCATCAACAAGTAAGGGAAGAAAAAGTGTTTGTCAACGAAGGACTAAGAGAGATGAGAGAAGAGAAAAGAAAAAAAGTATATAACGGACAGAAGGTATCGAAAAAGCAGCCAAAGACAAGACGTCTCGGACCCCAAAATAAAAAACCAAACACGCTCATGCGCAAGAATCGAACAAACAGTACTAAGAATTAAGGGTGTAGACGAGCAGATAGAAACCAGAGAGAAAACAACAACTCCACCGAGTGCTAGGGAAGAACACACAGGACCAGCCGGGTGTCGAGATGTTGCCTGGGAAAAATCAACCCATCAAAACAAGAAAATGACCACACCGGACTCCCGTGAGCTCTTGCAAAACCGATAGGAAATATGAACCATAACGCATGATAGGGGAAAGAAAAGTAATGAAAAGGAGCCGGGGAACGCCAGCAAGGAATCATTATGCGGCGGTTGAGTTCGTCACCGGAAATCACATCTTGCCGCCCAGACTTGCGCATCCGTTCCCGACCCTAAACCGAAATCCAGTGTCCCAAATATAATGTTGAATGAATGTAGAGAAGTGTATGTGTTTCAGGCGACTGAGGTCACCTTGGCCGTGGCATGTGCAGCATTAGTACGCCGTTCCCATACTGGCCAGCGTCTTGGGAGGCATTGCATGAATAGGCTGGTCTTTGGCAACGCGCAACGAATCTTCGTAACCGATCAAGGCTTGCGAATGAAGTTTGAATGACTCGCCCATGAGCTTGGTAATGCTGTTAAATAGTTAGTAACCTCAGCGTGCGATTCAAAGCAAAGTGAATGACTTACCCCCATACTACCACACCGTCTAGGATATTACCCCATACACGGGCCACGGTAGAGCTGAGTTTACCAAAAGCATCAACGGCATCATCATCAAACAAATTCCGCACCTTGTTATAGATGGCAATTTCGGCCTCGGTCGCTGGCTCTTCGTCATGTTCCAGGCGATAGAGCCAAAGACTAAGGATCACCATCAAGTCCAAGCCACACAGGGGGTGCTCGACGCTCCAGTTCGTGGCAGACGTCTGCGCCACCCAGTTGATACCTTGAACGGCAGCGATTTCGATGCACTCGAAGCACGATTGGATGACCTTGTTCATCTCTTGAGACCGCTTGACCTTCTCGCGGGCCACAGTCATGGCAGCAGCTACCTCGTACGAAGAGTGGTAGCGTAGAGCCTCCTGGATGGACTTAAGATCCACTTCCAGGCGAGCGCGAGTGTTTCGATAGACCGCCATGGAGTTGAAGATCAGAGGGTGGCCCTTCTGAGGGGTGCTGAGGGGCACCACCATCGTCTCGGGCTCACAGACTTCAAGAGAGCTTTCCCAGGTCTCCAATGCGAGACGAAGCTTGTACTCGGTAACCACGTCCTGCAAAGCCTCGAAACTGCGCTTGTGGTTCCACACTTGGAGGAACAGAGCGTTGATGAGAACGCGTGTGGCGAATGCACTATATCGGATCTGCTCGCCTTGGAAAAGGCAATCGTGCGCTTCTCGAACGGTCAGGGTGGAAGCATTGGCCAGGCTCCGGCGCCAAGCGTCGTCGTCGGTCACATCGAGGTTCCACAAAGACTCGGAGGAAGGTAGCTCAAGATTGTCAAACTCGTCGAAGCTCATCGCTGGGGTGTGGTTGAAAGTCAAGGTGAGCATGCCAAAGAAAATGTAGACCGCGAAATAGGTACGGCGGCAAGATTCATCCTCAATCCAATCCTCCCTGGAAGGGATACCCTCACGACCCTCAGTGCGAAGCTTCAGTTGATAGCGGTTCCCAGCAACCATCTATAATCAGTCAGTACAAGCAATTCAACCTCTCTGGATCAACAGAGAACTCACGTTGGCCAAAAGACTCTTGATGGAGCAAGTCCACTCGAGTCCCTTCGGGTCGCCGCTCCAGCTCTCGAAGATCATGTTGAGAAGGGTACTCTGCATCGCCCACAGCGGACATTTTCTCGAGTCGAAGTTCTCCTTGTGTTGCAGGAATTGGTTGACCAGCATCTTGGACCCCACATGAAGCATGAACGCGTCCTTCCGCTCGAAAGTATACAAAGCACCGATAGAGAGAACCGCGAGAAGTAGAGGCGCCGAGACCTCCGCCGGCTGGAACGACTCCTGGTGCAGGAAGGGAAGATGCGGGTGATACAGGTTGAAATACGTCGACAGGTACTTGTTGAGTGCAGATGTGGGGGGCAGCTGGAACGATTCGGGCAGTACACCAAGCGAGTCCGCATCCTCTAGGCGGTCCACGATCATGTTGCGCTCAGTTTCGCTGGCGATTTGAGGAGCCTTGGGCAGTGTCAAGGCCTGACTGGGACCAGGGGATCTACGGTAGTTCACAGGGCTGACGGGACCCGTCATCGAAGGATACGGGGACAAGGCATTCGGCGTCGAGGTTCCCGACATGGGGAGCGAGTTGACCAAAGAGTGGAGCGAGGGAGCCAAACCATCGCCTACGGGACCGTGCCGATCCATCACTGACGGGAGTGGATGCAATTCGGCTCCACCCTCGTGGGACGCGAAGGGCGACCCCATCGAGTGCTTTGTGTCAGCCGGTGAGACAAGGGTGTCCCAGGGCATCTGCGGTAGCGTTGCGTTTCCTGACAGGTACCCGACCGAAGGCTCTAATAACGAACCGCGTCCGGGGGAAAACGAGCGATCGGAATCAGCACGATCGTTGGATTGACCAGTCGCAGCGGCTGCAGCCTTGTGTTGGAAATCTGTCATCAACATGGCTGCAGTTTCAAGATCGACCATACCATCACTGCTTGCCTCAATCTGTTCGAGCGTAGTAGGATCAACTGTGATCGAGGGTTTGCTGGCGGGGCCGGAGGTGGGGGAAGTCTTTCGCACACCTGCGCCACCGCGTCGCCTGCCCTCGGACACCAATGGAATACCGCCATCTTTGGCATGGACAGTACGGTCGTGTCGAAGAAGGAGGTCTCGACGCACGAAGGTGCTCCGACATTTTAAGCACTTGAAGGGTCTCTCTTTGGTATCTGTGGGTCAAATCCAGAATTAGCCTCACACCGCCACTAGGATCAGCGCAGCCAACTCATCACAAAAATTTTCAACTCTAGGTGTGTAGTGTAGAATACTTACGCGATCGTTCGTGTCTGCTGCGGTGTTCACTTCGACTGAAGGCGCGATTGCAAAATTGGCATTTGTATTTCTTCTCTGGGACGGAGGTCTTTTTGACGGGTACGGAGGCCGCCGGGTTGGGTGCGCTGGGAGCCATGGCTGAAGAGGCGGGCAGCGAAACCAAGGGCACGAAGGCTGGATCTCAATGGAACAGGTTCGACTGCGAAGATTGCGCTATCGTCCCTTTCGTGATTTCACACCGATTCTGAAGACGGGTAGACGACAAGGATTCGGTTTGTTGCCTGATCATTCCTTGTGTGGGGGTATCTTGGAGAAGAGCGTAGGTTGAACTCGAAGGGGTGAGGGGAAGGGTTGAAGTTATCCAGCCACAGGCGGATTAGGAGAGGGGGATCGTGAAAGTGGCGTGGATGGCCAGGATGGCGAAAATCGGCAGTGAAAAGAGGAAAGAGAGAGACCCAGAAGAAGCAACGGAAGAGAAGGCGAGCAAGATGTTGAATAATGACCCAGTAGGAGGGGAAGGGAAGAGGGGAAAGGGAAGGGGAAAGAAGAGGAAGAGGGGAGGGGGGGAGGAAAGACGTTAAGAGAGGAGGAGAAAAGAGGAGGAAGACAGAAGAAGAAAAGAAGAGGAAGAAAGAATAGGTAAGAGGGACGAGGGACGAGGGAGGGAGGGGGGAAGGAGAATTGAATGGTGAATGGATGAGGAGAAAGTAGAGTGCGGTGCGAATTTGCGGGAGGAAGAGAGACACAGACAGACAGACAGAGAGTCTGGGTCGAAGGAAGGGGAGGATTTTTTTTTTTTTTTTTTTTTTTTTTTTTTTTGGGGGGGGGGGGGGGGGGGGAGAAGGGAAAGAAAGACAGACAGAGAGAGGGACGGGGAAGTGCGAGCAAGTCGCGACAGGACGTGGGCACAAGCTGATGGAGGAGGGAAGATTTGGGCGATCGCTGGATCGCAACAAGTGAGGCGGTCGTGACCAGCAGTCGGTGTTGGCAGTTGATTTGGGCGACGAGCAGCGCAGGAGAACCACAAGAAACCACAACAACAGGGAAGTGGGAGGCGGAAAAGAGGGGCTTCGTTTCCCGGCGGGACTGACGGAGGGGGTTGCAAAACCCAGCGATTTGAGCGGTCTTCCGGCACGGACACGCACTACATTCCATATTACCACATCTTCAATTATTTTAGTTAGTTCCTTTGGATTTCTGACTAACCCGCGTCACCGCGCTATCCCCAATCCCGCTTAGGACACGTCCTTTGCTCTAAAGTTCCTAAAGTTCCTTGACCCATAATTTCTGGTCTTTCTCGTCTTTCTCCCCCCAAATACCCAATTACCCAATTACCGGAGCCAGAGTCACAGGCTGGACAGTGGATGGCATTGGATGCACTGGATGGATACTTTCGAGTGGACTCTCTCTCTTCCCAAACCCACATGGACACTTTCTAACCCGTCAACCCGGTTCAGCCGGGGGGTCCTGCTTGTCCTTTCGTCTGGCTGAATCGACCGTTTGTTAGTTTAGTCCGATGTGAGGGAGCATTCATCTATATCCACTCTTCAATTTCCCTCTCCGCACTACACGCTACGCTACGCTACACACAGCCAGTATGAATGAAAAGCAAAAAAAAAAAAATAAACAAATAAATAAAATATCCTAAAAAAAAAAAAAAGAAAGAAAAAAAAAAACACACACACACACACACACACCAGGCAAAAGAAAAAAGAACCTGTCAACATCCGTTAAATTGATCCGAGATTTTTTGGGGTTGTTTCTTTTGTTCTGGCATGGGAGAACTTGACTCCCTATATGCATAACATTGGGCAGCATCGTACATGTTCCTTCTTTCCCCTGATCATACTATGTAGATGATCATGGATGGCGGTTCTTTAGATCTGAAATTGATCCAGAGTTTCCAGCCAGAGTCTATGCGATGATGATTAGATTGTTGTCTATACCTACTACCGAGTAGCTCCTAGCACCCTATCCCTGTTTTGATTAGTGACGGAACCCTCGTTCAGCGGCAGTCACCTGCGACCTAACCCTAGAAGGTAGCCTGGCAGTCGCAAAGAGTGTGAGAGAGCCTCTGGATCCTCTGGATCCTCTGTGCATTTGCCGATTGCATTGGTTGGTTCTCCATCTTCGACCCGGGCTTCTCTTCTGTGAAGATGAATTCATCGTTGTTATTGTGGGGTTGGGCTTGGGCTTGGTATGAGAGAACAGCTTCAAAGCGGTATGGTATGTAACTCTTTTGGGTGGGTGGGCGGGTGCAGCAGCAAGCAAGTGAAGAACAAGAATATTCGAGTTGTCTAAGTAACGTCAGTTGGGGCAAGTAAGGTCTAGGGCACTACCAAGTGATTATCGAAGTCATCGCATCCCTATCTCTATTTCTGGAGTACTCGTAGTTATCGCGCGCCCCTCCTTCTATCTCCCCTCCACCCCCCTATCTGACAGCCCACGGCCACAATTTGGGTGGTACGTACTCCAGCCCGGTCGGTGACTGCGGGGCCATTCACCCACAAGAATCAGATTGTAATCCATTATCTATTGATTGATCTTTAAAAGGGTACTTTGTAAGGAAAGTAAAGTACTTACTGTAGTAGCGACTATGGAGGTCATGGATACAGCGCCCATCTTAATCAAATTGAATACAATTTCAATTGATGTGTTGGATCATTGCGTGCGAACGCTCCACAGTGAGAGGGGAGGACGCGAAAATACTCGAGCGACAGCAAAGCTGAAGAAGGTTAGACCAGCCAACCTCTCCGTCCCTCCGTCTCTCTGCCTTCTCGGTGGTTGTCTTCTCTCTCTCTGTGTGTGTGTGTGCTGTGATAATCATCAATCAAATCACACGCACCTGGCCCCTCTCTCTCCCTCTCTGTTTCCTTTTTGTCTCTTTTTTTCACTTTTTATTTAATTTTGTCTATTTTCTTTTTCCTTTTTCAGAATTTATTTTTCCTTTCCACTTGTTCTTCTTTCGTCTCGCCCCTCGTCAGCCCCCCCTTGCCCCTCCAACAAGGATGCCACCGACGCTTGAATGCCACGGAGGAACAGTGCCGACATGATTCGTGTGTTCTCTCCCTTCATTTCCACCTGGGATTCTTTTCCCACACAGGCTAAGCCGACTGACTGCTTGGGCCAAACGGGCGTCCATGATTCTGTTCAGTAAGAATCCAGCATGATTCAAGGTCGAGAATCGATATATCGACCATCCTGGTCTCTCCTGCATTGTCATTCTCCTTGGTTTTTCTTTTTCTGTTTGGTGGGTTGATTCATCGAGTTTCTGTTCATTCCCCCTCCTTTCTGAGCAGCATGACGGAGAAGGAGAAACGATGGAACCCGCCACTCCCAGCTACCCCTCCTGTCCCTCTCGAGGTTCCCCTCTTGGATGATGTCCCTCTCACCCCTCCTTGGAAAATCCTACTTACCCCTCCGAAAGCACTAAATCAGTAATACATCGACGCTCCGTCCCTGCCCAGTGGGTGTTCGGAGTTCCCCTGTAAGACAACAGGAATAATCGACACTCCGTCGAGTCCGGAACACGGATTTCGGATTTGAGCAGTAGCAGCGGCATCTAAGATTCTGTGTCTGACTCTCTTGTGAATTTGATCCATGTGCGCACCAATTGGAAGTGACTCCTACAGAGTTGAACTAGTCGGGTGGATCTTAGACAGGACCGAGGAGCGGCCGTTGTTCCAGACCTTCTCCATCTCCATCACCATGACGAGGGATCCTGCTGCTCCTGCTCCTGCTGCTGCTGCTGTTAGTCTTAGTCCCAACCGTGTTCTATAGATACCTGGACAGTCTTCGCAAACCATGTAGGGATAAAGATGGGAAACTATCACCTCCTTGTGCCAAGTCATTCATACCGAATAGTCTCCTCAATCAAAGCATGCTTGGCTGGCTTTTCGAACTACGAAAAAACAAAACACAAAGAAATGCAAAGAAACTCAACAACAGTTACCCGTCACCACGCAGCAAGAGGAGAATATTGCTGACGATGTGATGCCTCTCAGCCTGACAGATCACCACCCGCTCCATCGGGATTCAGTCTATCCACATCTAACTCGAGAATTCATTCAGAAGATTAATGGGTTCTGGAAGTGCATTCGACACATTCGATGTTGCCCCGACCAGAAAAGGAAGTGCATGGACTGTGCGAAAGGCTATTTAGCCCGCCTACACCGTACGGTTCTCCTTTACTTATCCTGAGAGGATGTTGTTTTCACTATTCTTGCCTCCCCCCTTCCCGCCGTCTCAGCTTAAGGTCAGCTGGATCAGCATTGCGCGGGTGCCATCCGCAGATGGAAGACTCAGGTACGCGACAGGACGACTCAACTTTCTTCTTTTCAGGTCATCGTCGTTCGCCACCGCGATTGGCTTTGTTGTTTTTACGTAGTACTCGGTTTCAGATATGCCCAGTGTGGCTGCTCAAGTATGTGTCTTGTGTGTTCGCGCATGAAGGGCACCACGATACCCCTCCCTTCAACCTGGACATACTGTACAGTAAGTACATACACACTACCTTAAGAAAGCAACGAAGAAGTTCGGCGCGACCCAGCTGGGCCCTAATTCAGACTGCATGACTGCATCATCATCATCATCATCAAACACTATTGTTTCTGTTTTTGGTAATTCTGCAACCAAGCCAGAGATGCATCGACCTAGCATCGCCCGCCGACCTAGTCTGGTCCCATCTGCAGCCGTGGCATGGGCGAACAGGGCCTTCCTTTTATGGGCTTGTACCGAGTGAGTTTAGTGAGTGGTTTAGTCTCGGAGCGACAGTTCCCTTAGTGGCAGGGCAATTCATCATAGTCGAGGTCATCAATCCATGGCTGCCTGTAAGTCCCCCCAAGCAAGTCAGCAGTCGCGCCTAACCAGCCTCACTCGGAGACGCGCCCTTGTTCCGCGTCAGTCGCTTTGCTCAACTCTTAGTCACTGTACTTGTACATCATCATCATCATCATCATCATTCCCCTCAAGGTCAGATGATGATCGTGGATGACTCTCCAGGTTCTGGCTCTTATCCTCCAATCTTATCAATGCCCAGTTTTCCGTTCGCGCTTGGTTTGTTGCTTCTTCTCCATCTTTCCTTGCACGCCGGATCACGGTTCGAAGGCATGCCATATCAGGAAGAGGGACGCTCTCTCAAGACCCTTCCCTCCTCTCGCCAGCAGCAAGGACTGGGATAATTGATTCCAGTCTTCATCTTAATTATTCTCACCACGACGAGAGATTCCCGTAAAATCCCGGTATGTGGGGCGTCTCTTATGGACCCCGACGCGGGCTGAGTTACTAGGGGAACACACTCACACATGACCATCAAAAGTGGGAACACCCACTGGCAAGTACAAAAGTACCCCGCGAAAGGACTAGACTATCTATTGATTAACTTATTGAAGAGGCGTCGTAGAGTATCTATTCATCGGATCAACTTCAATCTATCCAGATCCAAGCCACACCACATGCATTACACAGCACTCGTACATTTTGTCTAAGCTGTGGATCATTCTTCGCAGTCCTGGAACATTGTGTCCAGTATACGTACGATTATCCATCTTCCTACATGGATGGTGGTTCTGGTTCTGGTTCTGCCTGCACAACATCGTCGACCGGACGGGGCGATCCTCGCTCGCGTCCCCGATGATGTTATTCCACCCTCTTGTCGACGCCCCCCCCCCCCCCCCGTGATTACTATTGACAGACAGCCCTACTTGGACGCAGGGCCCAGGACGGCCCAACCGATTAGTACTACCATGCCTTAATGCAGCATCCAGACTAGCAGTTGGCGAGAAATAGTCCCTCGGAAAATCGGACTACGTGTGTTGCCTCGCTCACCGCTTTGTGTAGTTAATTACTGCCAGGAGCTGCAGGGCTGCGACTGCAGGAATGATAAGAGCGGTGAGTGACCGACCAGACCGTCTATTCCGTCGGACCTCTACATTCGTACAGTACACCAACTCGGCCACTTCTTACACGTCCAGCCGCCTGGATTTACTCAATGGGAAGAGAGGGAGGAAAGAACTCCGAGGAGAGCCAAACCCTGACCAACATCCCGTTACTTCCGATCCACTTTCCGGCCCATGCAGCGGTCCGACCCAGTCAAACTGTGTGTGTTGATGGACTGGTACTTTGTGCCGACTGCTTCTTGAGGCATCAACTGGCTTCGCGATGAGGACGGGAAGAAAGACTCGATTTGAGATAGATAACATGCCAGTTAGGATACTCAGCAGACTTTGATCTTCAGGATCGAAGCAACGCACTCCATCAAACTCCACTACGGAAATCGGGAGTTACGGCCCACGGTCCCGGCCTCCTGGATTGGCGCACGGGTTGAAGGGAGGGGGAAAAGAGGGCCTTTCTTTTCCTATTCGAAAGAAACTTCCGTACATACCGATCCCGCTCTTTTTCTCTCCTTCCATGACCCATCATATTTCACGATCGATTCGAGAGAGATCTTAAGGGCAACATTTTTTGAGTGGCTAATTTCTCCGAGGGGGCATGCTGCTTATCTATCATTCTTTGTTGTTGTTGAACTACCCACTTTCCACATCCTTCCGAGAGGCTAAACGAAAAAGCTAGAAGCATGTCCGGCATCCATCCCAACCATTGAACGGACTCGGAATCTCCATCGTTTCGAAAGAGGACACCAAGAGCAACACATCTCAAGTGAATGGCAAGGGAGAGAGAAGGGGGCCATCACCGACTCAAACTTGAGACGCATCGACATATTTGCACCAACCGTCAGCCAGGACCAGCGGCAGAGAAGGACTTCTCGGTCGAAATGCTTGCTGGGATTCTTTTCTTTTTCTTCTGACGCTGCGGCTACCCGTAAGTTTTTTTTTTCTTCTTCTTCTTCTTCTTCTTCTTCTTCTTCTTCTTCTTCTTCTTCTTCTTCGGTGATGCAGCTAGATCTACCTAGTGGGAGGAAGAGGTCGATCATTCTTATCTGGTTGATGGTCGGTCTAGTAGTCACGGAAGAAGTTCTACCGCCTCCCTACGCCCAGTCTCCGTACTTCGTAGTCCATCTCAAGATGGAAGCTGATGTCCACTGGAATCTTCAACCGTGATCTGGTGGACTATGCTACCCTACCCTACCGAACTCCATCCAACTAGGTATCTTTGCAGGATCCCCGCCAGTTTCGACTTTTGACGCTAGTCCAGGCCACCGCGGCTATCGGTGCATAAAAGCTGTACTGTACAGTGTAGAGTACTTTAGGAAGTAAGTACGAAGTACAGAGTACAGTTCAATGAAACTGCGCAAACGGCCACCAACAAGAAGACAACACAGACCGACTTCCGGGCCCTATCATCAGGGAGTGTACATCTCTCCCGGCCATATCGCGAGTGAGCCATTGATACCTATCAACGCCATCACGCCCTCCTCCCCGAAGACTGACAACTGGAAGCGCAAGCAACCCATCATCATCCACAATCCCGCGTTCGTACTCCGTACACTTACCAGTGGTAAGTCGGTGAAAGAGATTTCTTAGTTACATATCCAGAAAAACATCCGTGCTCAACCCTTTTGCACCGGTTAGTTCTCGCCTTTTGTCTATCGCCGTAAGACACCGTAGTTAGTCTCTGTTGACCGCTTTTACGGATAGATTCAATATAACTTGTCGCCCCGTTCGGGCACTCACCCCGTTCTTACCGTGACCTAGGTAGTTATTGCCAATGCATTCCCTACATCTACTACACAAGTGACTGCTCGGCCCTTTTGCTGCTGCCCCACTCACATCCGACACTCGGGACGCGAAAGCGGGAGTCGATAACTTTCTTTTTGTAGTCTCGCCGTGGGATCTTGTCTCTGTACTTTTGAATCTTGTTGGTTCTTTCGGGCCTGGATTTGTGCGCTGGCTTCGCTAAAGGTTGGGCTGGGTTGGGTGGTCAGGGCAGGGCAGAGCATGGACCGAGTACTTGTACAGTTACTTATGCAGAAGGGATGTACTGTGGTCTCTCCCTCTATTTTTGGAGGCAGAGCTGGGAACTTATCAGGGGAGTGGGTGAGGTTCGGCAGTTGACTGCTTGAGCTTGAGGTTATGTGGGTTTCTTTTGCGTGGGTGGGTACACTCGTTCTATGTGGAATTATAGGTTGGATATAGTGTAGGAGGGCTTTGTAAGGATTACTTATATATACTTATTCAGCCTATCTCCCTACTAGCGAGCACTGAATATATTGTCCCAGCTGAAGCTGTGCCTGGACAGTACCCAACTTAATGATGTGGGTATGTCATTGAGCAGCTATATCCTGCCAGGAACCAAAGTTCATCGTGACAGGCAAAAGTCGGTTCTGGTTGATGGTTGGACTGCACTGAGAGTGTACCATGGTTCGCTCCCGTCCTCTGGGCGGGTGTGGTCCCGTGGTTCGCGGTTACCTTGAATAATGTCTGTCCCTTGCCGAGGCTGTGTTCACTCCAGGTTTGGATTGTATATGGATGCGACGGATGGGTTGTTGTTGAATACTGTATAGTACGTATAGGGTATACTGTTGGGGTATCTTATGATGGCTTTGAACTATTCGCATGTATACGGTGGTGGGGGTAGTAGCGGTGGAATATAAACGGCACCCACCGGGATATATATCTATCGCGACAGAAATCTTGAGATACCAAATATCTTATCCTACACACCCATAAAACACCCAGAGAATCGTGAAGCATAGCATGACACTCCTCTACGTAGTAACACCACGCTTAAACGGTCCTAATATACCTATCCCTCCCAACCAACAACTACCACCAAATGCCCACCATCTTCACTACGAACACAGTAAATTGACATAGTGAACCTCCCCGGAACCGTATGAATAACCACACAACCACCAAAACCGCCGAATCATTATATCATAATATCAATCCCAACCAGCCGAGCCAACCGCGTAAATAATCCGCCTAGAAAAAAAAAAAAAACCTCATTCCCGCCGAGATGCAAAGTTCTAGAACTGCTTACCGCAAAAAACCCACCGAACTTCCCGAACCAACACTGACGCTAAACCAGGAGCCCGGCAATCAAGACGAAACCCGCCTAGAAAAGCGATGAACAGGGGTTTACGCGTCGTTACTTGCTAAAAATCGTCCCCCCCCCCCCGGGCCAAAGACCAAAAATATTAATTGGGGAAGGTAAGTCTGGTTTGTGGATAGTTGGAGAGGAGGAGTTGCTTGCGCCGTAGAAGGGTTCGAGAAGGATAAATGGATGGATGTCCCGGGGAGGGGGTGGGGTGGGGTGGTGAGACTTGGGTTTGCGAACTTGGAGATTGTACGGAGAGACTAGACGGGAAGAGAGAAAACCTCAAACAAGAAGAAAGTAGAAAACGGGATATGCAACGAAAAAGGGGTAAAGGTCAAGGTTCAAGAACTCTGTCTGGATGGCATTTCGTTCGGGGCCACCCTGGCAGAAGAGTGAGAACTCCATGTTGGTCCTGGACTATCGCTGGATTGGGGAATTGAATTGACTATACGCCGCGCGCGACGGGCTCGGAATGGCCGGCTAGCCCAGGCCAGGCACACACCATTCAGAGAGCGAAGGGGATGATCGGGATCATCGTTTCGATGATTCAGCAGCCGGATTTTTCTCTTTTGTCGATGTCTTGGAATGGTTGGTTGGTTGGATGAATGGATGGATGGTGCCTCGCCAGCATTGTCGCTCATCCTGTTATTGATAGGTGTGAATGGATGACCTCAATTGTGGGTGCGTCGGAGAGAGAGTGATAGACAGTCAGCAAAGATGTGGGGTGATGGAGGACGGGGTTCATAGACGTCATGGTCGCCGTTCAGAACGTTAGTCGGTGGCCGATCTATCATACGAATAGACAATTAAGGGATTGCGATTATTCTCGTCGTCTTATAGTTGTCTCGGACTATACTACTAAACTTACCTAGACTGCGCCGGTTTTATGCCGCTTTACTCCCCGTGTGCACACACGGCTAGTGTTTATACATGATTTGGTGTACAAGAGAAAGGTCGGTCTGGGGGTCTGTCTCTCGGTAATCTTCCTCACTGAATGAATGCTTTACCCCTACGTTGCGACGATGGACTATGTGGGATAATTGGTCAGTTCGATTCAATAAGATACCTAGTAGGTACTGACCCGGTCATGGTGGGCTGTGCGTCTAATAGTAAGGCTGTGAGGGATGCTCCCCTCCCTGCAGTTATCCCTCCTTGGTCCCTGTTCTTGATGCATCTTCCCCTTACAGGACTATTTACACCCAGAGTATTAGTGCTAAGCAGAATCATGTGACATGCTATCGGCGGGTTAGACTCTGTGTGTTATTGGTGGGAAGTCAGACATCTTCCTCCTCGTGTCGAAAATTCTCCTTTAAGCTTATTATATCCCGTACTACAGGGGGGTTCGGGCGACAGCTTGGACCGGGGTTTATTGGTGGTGAGCCTTGCGCAACGTGACCCTTCGTTGTCCCTCAGTGAGATGGGTGATTGGAGAAGTCTCTGATGTGTGTGAGCCATTGGTGCTTGATGTCTGATCTCTTACATCTGGTCGTGTCTCTGGCTGGGGGTAGTCGTACTGCAGTGCCGTGTCTTGATATCATATAGTAGTGCCCGGGAACTCAGGTGTTCCCGAATGTCCATCGGTCCGAGAGAACCGAACTAGCCTCAAGACCACGATGCAAGACTGATGGAAATGTGACAAGAACCTGCCTAATCGGAGATTAGACTTGATGAGGAGGATCGAAGATTGCTTCAACGCCACCATCACCATCACTAACAACACCCTCCGTCATGAAGAGTAGGCCGACCCAGTTAGACAACTCTCACATGTCAAGCATCAGCACCATCGACACCCTCCAACCTCGCTTGTACTAAGTACGTACCTCAACTCCAGTCCACGTAAAACCACTTCATCACCACCGCAATCACCCATGCAAGCCCACTTCGCCCCAACTCTGACTAAGAGCCATCCATCGCCTTCCGGGGTCTCCGAGCATAAAACGCAAGCCAAGCCCCCCCCCCAAAATCTGCATGTTTATCTGAAACCCCGCCACGCCTCCCTCGGTAGATTTTCATGCAGGTCGAGGATTACTCAATGCTTATGACATGGAGCACGTGGCGGACACACGGTGTGACACCAGGCCTTGATTCCGGGGAGACCTTCTATCTCCAGTGACTGGTGCGGGAATCTAGGGGGAACGAAGTCGAACGATTTGTCGGGCTCTGTGATGGCCCTGCAGGGTTGGGGCTCGGTGGAACGGGGTCCATCGGACGGGTTTGTTCGGAGCAAGCTCGGGTGGGATTATTCTTGGTGGGTTTGTTTGGTATTCTTATGTAAGTGAAGGGGATTCACATGGGCCATTCACGGACTCGAGGACTTGGTTGGTAGTGGCTGATGGTTGTGCTGCTCTTCATCAGCGCGGTGTCGAAATGGTCTTAGGTGGCCTGGGTAAGAAGGTTAGGATTTGTTTAGAGAATGATCTACTTCTGAGTTGGATTGGGCTGACTGTAATGGGGCTGGGCGCGTGTAGAGGAAGAAGCCTTGTCGTGATGAGTAGGGCTGAAGGAGCAGGGCGTGAGATCTGGGTGAGGAATAGCTTCTCATGCTTGGGGTGAATAGGTTTTCGATGAGTTGTATGAATGTAGTCATCCATTCGGGGGCTCTGAATGGCTCTTTCGCATATTCGCAGCTTGAAAAGGTCGGCGAAGCTATTCGTTTGATGTCTTCATGAGTGAGACCGTGTGACTGACTATTGTGATGTTGCCTTCTGCATTCTGGAACGCAGTAGTGTCTTGCTGTAGCAAGAAGCACATACTGCATTCATGTCAGTGTGTTGACCTCTTCGAAATCGACTTGACGGGTTTAAGGTACACAGAGTAGAGTGCCTGACCCAGTAACATTCTATTGTAAACAAATGATCGTGAGTGGCGGAGAAACAGGTTATGTTGGATTCTTCTGACTGGATTGTGTGGTTCAAGTGACTTACATGTGATCTGACATCTATGGTAAGCTGACCATATGCAATGCAGAAATTGATTCGATATCATGTTGGATGCTTGCGATTGTTGATTTGCCCATGTCAACGTGATAGGTTGTGGTTAGCCGTCCTTGCAGAGCGAGGGCTATATTCCAAGAACAAACTCCTTGATT